AATTCAGATTTACATTTGTATTTTCAGATTTACATTTTATATTCAGATTTACTTCTATATATTGAGATTTACATTTATAAATTCAGATTTCCATTTGTATATTCAGATTTCCATTTATATATTCAGATTTACATTTATACATTCAGATTTACATTTGTATATTCAGATTTAGATTTATATATTCAGATTTACTTCTATATATTGAGATTTGTGTGTGTGCGTGTGTGTGTGTGTGTGTGTGTGTGTGTGTGTAACTGTGCGACTGGACTCAGTCTATGGCTCACCCCGATGTTTTGTTCAGTTTCTTTCTCATCTGCTTTGGAGATTAAACAAACGCTCAGACAGGCCAAGATGAATTCTTGACACTGGCGGCTGTTAATTATGATGACTGCACTCGGTTTGCTAGGGGTGTGTAATTAGCTGTGTTCGGTGAATGGAAAGGCCTGTATTTATTCTGTCTGAAATGTGCTGAATGCTCTGAATGAATGTTTGATTGAATATGGATGACAAAGACCGAATCACGTCCTTTTGTCTTTACCTTTTTTTTTTTTTTTCAAAAGAATTTTTTTAATTCTCTCTGAATCTGAAGCTCTTCACTGCAAAGACTTTGGCTAGCTGGATTTAGTTAGCTCATATCGAGATCAGGAGTTAAATGTGCAGCGAGATGTAATATCTAGGGATCAACACATCTCTAACAGATGGAAGACGGTCTGTCTGCTATCTTCATGCTCAAGAGGACTAATATATGTAGACATCAACAACAACAAAATCTATCTTGCAGTTGTTTGGTTGGTCAATATAATCTAGAAAGACAGCAAAATTATATACGCATACTATAGTGGTGGAGTGATATCCGTTAGAGTTAGAGTTTCTTTTCAATCCGATACGAAGTACTATCAAAGCCAATATCTACACCAATAAGTTTTATGATTTTCGAGGATAAAACAAATAATTATAGCCAACAAAGATTAAATAGCCACAAAATAGGCCTAAACTGGAAATCATTCTCAGGGTTACAGGGTTTATGGCATTCTGTTGTCACAGCAACAAAGTTGTAAAATTGAAACAGAAAAGGTCAGTAAGCATTTTTTTCACACCAAAATTATATTAACATGCATATTGTTTAGTTTTTGTGGCAATCAACATCATGCCACAAAGGCTGTCAATTCATCTTAACTTGCACTTAAGCCAGAACATTCCTTTAACCATAAAACTACACCACCTTGACCACTGGACAGACACTGCATAGATGTGAAGCTGCATGTTAATGACCCTCTATCCACCTACACACCCACTGCTCAGCCGGACAGCACGCAAGTTACTCATCCCTTCTGTTCAAAAAAACACTTTACAAATCACAGACTCACTCTCTGTGGCTTTAGATGAAAGATTGGCCTAAAGAATGGGAAGAGAGCTCAAAAGTGTGTTTTCTCACACTCATCTGCAGCACTGGAGTAGTGACAGATGCACCTGTTTTCCTCTTTGAAGGATTTCTGACCTCTTTCACCCTCAATGGGCCATCCAGATGTCAAGAAAAATTTATTCTTAAAAAACACTGTTAAATCTTATTACGTTGCTTCTGCTCTTCAGATTATGTAATTATTTGAGATGCTGAGAAGAAAATGAGACAAAATGTACTAGGGATGCCAGGGAACAGATCCATTATTTGGATCACAACATCCAAATAATCAGAACATCTAAAATAAGCAGATATGCAGCAACCTGAACTCAGCAAGACAGGGAAATGAAGCTATAAATCCATTTCTTTATAAGTACAATCAAGAATTGAGGCAGAGACAGAGTTCACAGTGTTACACAACACTTAGTAGCTGACAAAATGGACATTAATTTTAATTCTGCATTTATTCTGTCTGAAATGTGCTGAATGCTCTGAATGAATGTTTGATTGAATATGGATGACAAAGACCGAATCACATCCTTTTTTTTAACATTCTCTCTGAATCCGAAGCTCTTCACTGCAAACATTTCGGATAGCTGGATTTAGTTAGCTCATATCGAGAATGTGCAGCGAGATGTGATGTCTAGGGATCAACACATCTCTAGCAGATGGAGGACGGTCTGTCTGACATCTTCATGCTCAAGAGGACTAATATATGTAGACAACAACAACAAAAATCTATCTTGCATGGTTGTAAAGTCAGTCAGTATAATCTAGAAAGACAGGGAAATTATAAATGCATACTAGCGCTGGAGCGATATCCCTTAGAGCTAGGGTTAACTTATTAACCCAATACTAAGTACTATCAAAGTTTTATTATTTCTGAGGTTAAAACAGATATTTATAGCCAACAAACATTAAATAGCCACAAAATAGGCCTAAACTGAAAATTAGCAGATGGTCTAATTTCTATTTATTAGCAACATATATCGTTTTTTTTTTTTTAAAGCTATAGCTATGAGACTATAATACAGGTCACATTTAGCTTTGTTGAGTAAAATAACAAATGATGCTTCTTTTTTTCCTGTCATTACCTCTGGCAGGCAGTGCTCTCTGTGGCTGAACGCTGTCTGACTGCTTGCGCTTTTTAGCATTTTTATTCATGTTCAGATGAGTGGAAGGACAGATAGTTTCTATGTTACACAACTATTTTTTTTAACTAAGTTCATATTTTTCACAGCTTATGCTGTATATTTCACTATTTATTACATTTGAATATCATTATAATAAAAAACAAAAGCTAATATTTTTACAGCCTATATAGCTTATATATTTTACTATTTCTTATATTATCATTATGATACATTCTTAGTATAATAATATAAAAAAAAACATATGATCAATATTGTATCTTACTGGCCTCTTAATATCATTTTCAGAAGAATCGTATTTCTAAAGATTGATCCGGTCATCCCTAATGCGTACTCTCAAAATATCAGCCACAATACAGGCTGATTCCATCACTTCCTGTTAGAATGTGTGAATGTGAGGAGCCCCAGAGCATTAATGAAGTCCAGTGTTTATCAGTGTCTACTACAGCAACTATGCCCTCTCTCTGGTCTTTGAACTCTTCTCAAATGGGAGTACGCCAGCAGCACAAAATTCTCCTTTCTCTCCTTTTCTCTGGCATCAAACAGCAGAATAAAACCTTTGATAGTGCACGTCCCATTGAGTTTAAATGCAGCTGATCCCAACCATGAGCGAGGCGATCAAGTGGCAAATATGAGTTCTTGTCTTTACCAGCTCTGAGCGAAGAATCTCCAGAAGGCGTTTTACTGCAGGCTTTTATTCCAGTTCTATTTTCTAATAACAGTCATAGGAGTCCTTCTCTAAAAGCAGCCCCCCTCTGTGTTTATATATTATCGCTGATGATCAGTTAAAGATAAAAGCAAGTGGGGTTGTGATCTAGAGGTTGCACACATCTGCTAATAAATTGATAGTGTTGATAGTGATGAACCTTTGAGTGATTTGTATAGCCTTTCAATTACCAATCCAGATCTTTAAAGGAATATTCTGAGTTCAATAGAAGTAAATGGGGCCAATTTTTTGAGGATTTAAAAGCAGAACTGTAAAGTTTATAATTTTCCAAAAGCTGTTCAATTAATTATTCTGTTAAAACTAAAAAGCTGAATAATTTTAGTTATTCTTGGGGTTACAGGGTTTATGGCATTCCGTTGTCACGGCAACAAAGTTGCACAATTTAAACAGAAAATGTTAGTAACCCTTTTTTTCCCACATCTAAATGGTATTAACCTGAGGCATATTGTTTATGTTTTTGGCTACTATTGAAGCTGTTTGTTTTAACATTTACAGATAAGTTCCATTGCAAGCACCTCACTATATACTTTATTTTTTTTAAAGAAGAGTGGAAATTTATTTAATTTTTGTGGTAATCAACATTATGCCACAAACGCTGTCAATTCAGCTTAGTTTGAACTTAGCCCAGAGTATCCCAGAATATTAAACTAGACCACTGGACAGACACATCGTTTTGGACATGAAGCTGCATGTTAGCGACCCTCTATCCACCTACACACCAACAGCTCAGCCGGACAGCACGCAAGTTACTCATCCCTTCTGTTCAAAAAAACACTTTACAAATCACAGACTCACTCTCTGTGGCTTTAGATGAAAGATTGGCCTAAAGAATGGGAAGAGAGCTCAAAAGTGTGTTTTCTCACACTCATCTGCAGCACTGGAGTAGTGACAGATGCACCTGTTTTCCTCTTTGAAGGATTTCTGACCTCTTTCACCCTCAATGGGCCATCCAGATGTCAAGAAAAATTTATTCTTAAAAAACACTGTTAAATCTTATTACGTTGCTTCTGCTCTTCAGATTATGTAATTATTTGAGATGCTGAGAAGAAAATGAGACAAAATGTACTAGGGATGCCAGGGAACAGATCCATTATTTGGATCACAACATCCAAATAATCAGAACATCTAAAATAAGCAGATATGCAGCAACCTGAACTCAGCAAGACAGGGAAATGAAGCTATAAATCCATTTCTTTATAAGTACAATCAAGAATTGAGGCAGAGACAGAGTTCACAGTGTTACACAACACTTAGTAGCTGACAAAATGGACATTAATTTTAATTCAACACCAAAATATAATGTAATTAAAATGAAATATTATTTCAAATTAAAAAAAATCTATATATTTCACTATTTTAAACTTATTTTTACAGTTTGCTTAAATGGTCCTGGAATGTGACAAGTACAAATATTTCATGCAGTCTTTCAATTAATATGAGGCCATAAAACTGCATCCATGCATAATTATAAAATGTTGTCCAAAATAGTTTTAGCTGTAGTATGTATTACTGCTGTCACTGGCTACCCTGAACGATGTTACGAGACAACGATCAACCTGCTACACGAAAGGATTTCATATGTCCACGCGCGTGCATTAAGAGCTTACAACTGTTCCATTTTACGCACTGATGTAAATAGGTTCAGGTGACTGTTAAATTTGCCTCAAACATTTTGTATTTGCATTTGACACTTTGGTGAAGGAACGGTAAGCTGCGCACTTACGGGTGCCATCGAAACGGGTGGCGATGGTGTCGAGGAAGGTGTTCTGCGGGGCCAGGAGACCTCTCATCACAGGCATCCTGGTGCGGGTCGACTGCGTCCTCCTCCCGCCTCTGCGCCCAGCAAGGGCAGAGGACTCCTTCTCAGCCCCGAACCCGGGTAAGAATCGGGATGTTCCGGGCGCGCATCCTAGACCCTGCAGGAGCGCCCCGATCCGTGATACGCGCGGCTCCACTTTGGCAGCTCAACAGTGACCATATCCTTTAACGAAAAGCCCACATATCTGCCTTACATCGTGTCATAAAGAGGGCGAAAATCCGCGTACGTGTCTTTGTAAGTCAGGTGCTTGGAGATGAGATGAACTTGTGCGTAACGGCAGCGCTGGAGACCGGAGCTCTGACTGGTGAGGCGACTGCGCACTGGTGATGCTGTGTGGACTACTGGCACCACGATCCTTCCTCTCTACATCTATATAACTGGCTTTCTCTAGTTGCTATAACCAGCAGATGTCACGTCACGTGGTGAGCATGAGTCTGGTAAGGAGGCTAGAACCCTTGTACTAGTTTTCTTTTTATTAAAGATTCTTTATTCAGATGAAATGATCCAAAAACAAACCAAATTTTGATTTTGTAAGAAATTAGAATTTTCACAAGAAAGTATTTAGTGACTGTGGAAGGTTCTTACTTTTTCCTAATTTTACACATAAAATGAGAATTTTTTTATTTAAGGGTCAATTACTTGATGTCACTCAATCTGAATCTAAGTTATTAAAAAAAACATTAAAATGACTAATAAGAATAGTCTACACCTTGTTGATAGTGCATACATTTGTCAAGGTGGTGTAACTGTAACTTTTTTAAGGAAATGTTGGCATAGTTGAAAGAACCTCAGAAAAAAAAAATTCTTTAAAAAGAAACTAACAGAACTCATAAAATATATATTTTATAGTTTGAAACCCATGTTTTATAATAGAATAAAGTGGATATAGTATGATAACATTGTCTGTTAATTCACAGTCCAAGGCAAGTATTTTAGTACATTTTAGACAATTATTAAAATAACAAATTTTGTATAAAATGTAAATGTTTTTCAAAAATGGACACAAAATACATTTCTAAGTAATTGACACTTGTTCTAAGTAGATTTTTATCATGTCCGACATCCTTATTTTTCATTGATTCATAAATCAAACAGTATAACTATGTGCAAGAGTGTTTTACTGCTATCCCTATTTTTTTAGATTTAATTTTGTACACGATCAATGTGTTTGTGGTCAATAATAATAGAACAGAATAACAAGGGGGGGAAATATTTATTTATATTTTTCTCCTGTGTGGTAGAAGAAATTAAATACAGTGTCTCCATTGAACAACTTATAACAAGACAAACAACTGAATATGTAATTTGACACAGTTAATAAATAAAATTTCACAACTCACCACTGAGGTAATACTGTAGTTCAAAGTAAAAAAGAATAATAATAATAATAATAATAAAATAAAAAAGAAAATAAAAAGGAAAGAATAAAATAAGTAATACACATGGCAAGTTACTGTATATCTAACCTTTTTACATAAACACATTTTTCACCTAAAACTTAGAAGTCACCTTGGCCTGCAGACTCCAGATGCCCAAAATATTCCAAAGGACGACATACTTACATACTTTAAAATATATTAGTAGGCCATAGCTGTTATGCAAAACACTTATGTCCATCCTGTTTCATTTTGCAATTTGACTCATCAGGATTCCCTTGCTGTGGCCTGCATTGCTATAAAAATTTACTAAATAAATAAAAGGCAGACAATTGCGACATCTGCCGGTAAGTATGAATTCTGCATTCACACAGGAGATGCCAAACGACTGCTCAGTGCTCACTTTGACACTTTCACTCCCTTCCTGCTCACGCAAACTTGGAGCATAACTACACCGTTCAAAATCGAAGGTGGATTGAGAATATGGACTGCTCGAGAAACAGAATGCGTTTTGGAGGTCGGGTGAACCTGTATCCGTCTTACCTGTGTCATCTTCTTCTGTTTCATCTGCTTTTGTACTGGTGAAGATTTGCAAGACGCATGGAAATTAGAAATCACCAATTTATTATGTGTGCAGGGGGAAGCTGGTACAAAACCAAATCATTAACAGTTTGGGTTATGAAAATTGGCTTTGGTACCGCGCTAATTCTGTTACTTTTGTGGCTTCAAGCCGCACTTTTATGACGCGGTAGTATGTCACTCCAATTCACTGCATACTTTGCAGAATATAGCTAGGCCTACTTGGGTCAATTTTAAGTATGTTAAATAGAATGCAGCCCAAGTTTAAATGGATGCGTTAAAAGCAAGGAGAAGGATTACTCAAATAAGGTAAAAGTGAGTAGAATTGCAGAAAGGGTGAAAAAAAATGGGCGGGGCTTCTATGGTTCTAAATAATATTCTGGTTCTAAATAATAATTTTTGTTTCAACTCTTCATTGTTTGTTTTCAGTTCGGTGTCTATTAAAGTCATCAGTGTCATTCATTATTCATCTGTAAAATACATTTAAAAAAATTTAATTAACTGCAATTATATATACAATTATTGGCCGAAACCACAATATTATTAACCAAAATTTAAACATCAGATTTCAGTGTGAAAAAAGGATATTTTATAGTTTGTTTTTTTTTTTAAAGGTTTTTTAAGTTTCTTCAAAGACAGGTTGGCTACTATATTTCAAATTTACGGATTTATCAATGCTGCCGTGCAAAGGCAAAAG